CCCTGCAATGATGACAAGTGAATGACAACTTTATCATCAAAATGATGTTCTATACAAATTTGGTCAAATCCGTCTAGCATATGGCCGTTGGTTAAACGCACCAAGAAGCAGCGTTAATTTGGGCATTTGATTAGATATTTTTAAAATATAACTCTCAAATATTCATCAATTCTCTCTAAAAATGTCGTTACTTTCTGAATAATAATTACAGATGCCTTCCATGTCTCTGGTGTGTAATCATTGATTATACGCAATCAGAATAAACGATATACACGCTCCAAATAAATACTCAAGTGCATACAGTGTGGCGCTATATCCCGATAACCTGATCTGAATATAACCGTAGGGGGCCCATCATAAGAATACTGCCTCAATTATATATAACAATTCATTAGATTTGACATTAAGTTTTGATAAGCTTAATGACTAATTCATCATTTCGTGGTGCCGCTAAATCGATTTTTGAATGGATCTAGACTACCTTACAAAGTACATACAACATTGCCATGGCAACGAATTCACCACAAACTCGCTCCGAAAAAGTGCAAGCTTTTAATGTTTGACAATGCACATATGACCGTGTTTTATATAATTGCAATGGGGTCCAGTGCAACTTCTCATTCTGATTATAGTGAATAGATGTAAATAGCCGCCAACTCCACGTATAATATCAATTTGCACGTATCATATCAATAATCAATTTGCAGTAGCGAGAAATAATCCCTTTTAACATGTTCTACCATTTCAAGCCAAGTTTCGAATAACAATAATTTCGATTACAACTAATTGTCCCAATAAATATAATGAGAGTTAATAATACATATATACAAATGCGAATTGTTGTTGACACATCAAGACTCTATTAAATTTGTATTTCAATGGCGAGTCTCATAACATCCACCACCATTGAAAACGACAGTACTGTGTACATTAAATATTCGTAGTGTTTGGGAGTAATCTTTAATAGATAATTGGTTGTCAGAAGACCCGTGCAGAGATGATACATGCAATAACACAGAGAATGTGAAGTCGCGATTTAATAATACAACGGATCACTTGTTTCCTTGTAAATATAAATACGTACATTATAGAAGGAAGAGTGAATAGGTGAGCCTTCATTTATTTTTATATAGCTAAAATAACTACAAGTATATAACCTGAAATATAACAATATTCTGAAAAGTCGTGCACATAAACGTAATCCGGGGAAGTAGTGGCTATACACCCAAAACTCGTGTGAACAAAATGAAATATAGACTGATCTGCCGAATCGATTTGCCTGCTAGGGCTGACGGGAAATGATGTATCTAGCGATGTGCACAATTTGTCATTGACAGTGGCACAGTGACTATACTATGTATGTAATCTCTGTCTGTAAATTATGTATACACACTGCATACAGAATTTGTTTCTTGAAATGCAGTTCCACACCCCATGGCTATTATCTCCGAAAATTTTACATTTCAAATTTTGATTTCCCCAGGATTCATATAAATAACCGTTTAATTGAATTCCCGAAGAGACGATATGACTCTATTTTCAAGGATGCACGTCGCTGAATCGAACAGTTTCCTATATGAAAATGTTGGTTGTCTGAAGAATTTGGTGAAAATAGTGAGCGACGAGTTAAATGTTCCCGCATGAAGTTACATTTAACTATGAGACGGCCGCCACGAATTGTCAGGTTAAGATAATCTTTTTAATAACAGTTACATTCCTCGTACAAAATATAAAACGGCGTCACGTAAAAGGGAAATGTTTTTAATTAGTTTTTTTGTTGTAAAATGTTGACAGGAGGCACGTTAACTGACGTCTTATACACCCCACAAATCCTATTATATTCCCGATGATAAATTACTTAAAATCAAGTATTTAAATTAGTTTATTATTATAAGACAGGTATTTAATACTGAATGAATATAATGAGTAGTAACTAGTTCTCGCCGCAGGCTCACCAAGACAAATTTCCGTCTCGTTTAAACTCAATTTTCTAAAGATAATATCAGCGCGTGATATGAATAATACATTTGCTCTGACGGTCAACGACCTTCTTACTTTGACATTGCATGTCTAGTATAATAGTATAATTATACCAGCATATATATATATATATATATATATATATATA